AGGACAATCGGAGTTCGGAGAACTGGGGTATCCTCGGAAGCGAAATTATACATCGAGGAATATCGGGAAGAATGAAAATGTGATAATGGGTACATAAGAGCGCGTTCAGACTTCGCGATCGCGCTACTGTGGGTGAAATTACACCGGGAGGGGGTCATGTTCGTTCATGTTCAACAAAGTTCTGGAAGGGAGTCGTACTGATATCACCATTTCTCACATCACGATGCTGTATCCTGCCTCCAATAGGCAGTTCCAAAAACGATATAAGTTCGACCTTTTTTGATGTCTTTTAGGCCGTGTTCATATTCGCAATACTGACGTTTGCAGAAACCGTCGAAAGGAAAGGTTGTGTATAGACCTGGAGGATGGCAGAACAAACAAAGCAAACACATGTGACAAAAGTAAAGTGAATATCTGGAGGACTGGCAAAATCGGGGGAAGGGAGAGAAACAACATCACCCGCTGTTGAAAGTTCTGCGTGTCTTACTTTTGGAACAAGATGTTCAATACTCCGCTTGAACGTACTCAGATGCAAAATTCAGTATAATAATTAGCATATTGTATATTTAGTACTATTTTACATAGGAAATAATAAATAACTCAAAGATTTCGAAACGTTCCTTAAAATTAGGAGGGCGTTATGTACACAAAGGAAGAAAGAAGGAAAAGGAAAAAAGAACAGGAACAATAAACATGAACGAACATGACCCCCTCCCGGTGTAATTTCACCCACAGTAGCGCGATCGCGCGATCGCGAAGTCTGAACGCGCTCTCAGGAAGAATGAAACCGTGGAGAGGTTTTTTTACTTATCTTCCTCCCAAACATACAAACTAGGGCGTGTTCATACTTCGCGATAGCGCGATCGGATCGCTGCACAAACAGCACGATCCAGTACGATGGCGAGGTATAAACGTGCCTTATGTCTCTTCAGTTGGCCGGAATCAATCTGTACCCTGATATTTTTCGCAATCGATATTTACCCTATCGTTTTTACGAGTTCTCCGAGATCGCATCTATTCCTACAGCGTCCGCGCAACGCGTGTCGACCGCGGCGCTCCTGGCATTTTGCCATTCTTTGGTGATTCACGCTTCCAATAGCGATTAGAACGCGAACCTCGCTGAGCGGGACTTGAGTTGAAGATCAGTTAGTTGTTTCAAAGTTGCATGCCTTTCGCAATGCGTTTCAATGAGAAGAACGTGAATTGAAGAGCAGTTAGCCAGTTTCAGAGTTCCATACACATCGCAAGCGCATTTCAATGAGAAGGACGAGAAAGCATTTGCAGATAGTAACCGGTAATAGGTAACATATGAAAATCATGCAGGGAGAGCGTCATGCAGTGACACGAGGACCTATCTGCATATATGGGTACTATTCAACTATTATTACCTAAGAACTCGAAAAAAAGAGGATTGCTTGCCTATACGGATTATCCGATGTTCTGATCAAGAGTATGACATTTGCTTTCGACGCGCGCCTTTAGACGCCAGTAGGCGCCGACTTATCACCAACACTTTCCTTACCAACATCGGTGTAAACTTGCTTGCCGGGGCTAATCGTGCCCTGATCACAAATATGACATTCATTTTTAGCTCTGACGCTATTTGTCGTAACACCCTTTTCACTAAAATTGATGAAAATCCGTGTAATGGGGTTTCCGTTGTCACGAAAATTACATTCACTTTCCGATTTAGTGTTCTGCTAAGGCTGAGCTTGAGAGAAGGATTGCCTTAGGGCCAGGCCCAACATCAGCGAAGCGTAGACGATCGTAGTATCTTCAGTTAAAGACAGCGCCCGCGATGGACTTTGGCAGGTTTCAGGGGTCACATTTGCTAGAACAGGTGGCCAATGAAGCACTAATCAAAAAAAGCAGGAAAAAGGTGTGGAAGAGCGTGAAATAAGACCCTATGAAATTTAAGGCATGTGGACGAGTTTCGCAAACTTCTGGTGAGTTCTCCAATACACGTCGCCGCCTCGGAACTCTAGAAATTCAGCGTATATCAATGCCAGCAAGCATTGATAACTGTCAACCAGTCGGGGCGGGATTAACAGGACAGGAGGCGTCAGCCCGGCTCTGTTGACTCCGCCCTCGTCAACCAATCGATTTCGAGCCGCAAGAGTGGGATTTCTGCTGTGATTGCGGACTCCGCGTTCGTTTTCAATGGAGGGTTTTTCACTTTGGTTGATCGCGGACGCTGCCTTTAAGCCGGCACCAGGAATGAATGTCATGTTCATGATCAAGATCTCAAATAACCTGCAAGTTTTAATCGATTTTTGTGATCGAGAGCATTTTTGCGCCGGCGCCTATGGTGCGGGCACCAGTTTTTCGGGCCAAGCGGATGTGGATCATGTTCAGGGGTCAGAACACCCTCTGGCCATGTTATCGGCGAACTTGGTGATTAGCGCATTTTGGCGCTGGCGCCCATGGAGCAGTGCCAGGGTACGGATGCGACACTTGAGTTAGGGAGGTCGAAGTACCCATGGAAACAAATTTTTAGCCGACTCTGCCCTCTCAGGGGAAAATCGGTAAAAACTGGCTAGGTGCCTGAAGATTAAGGTAGTAATTCTTTACTAGTGCCCACATTTGAAAGATCATGAAGTGAGTCGAAAAGCAGACCAACTGCTTTTCACATCATTTTCATTGAAATTACGCTTGCGAGGGTATCGGATTCTAAAACAGGCTAACTGCTTTTCAGTTCACGTTCTTCTCATTGAAGCGCAATTGCGAAAGGCATGCAACTTTGAAACAACTAACTGATCTTCAATCAAGTCCCGCTCAGCGAGGTTCGCGCTTCTAATCGCTATTGGAAGCGTGAATCACCAAAGAATGGCAAAATGCCAGGAGCGCCGCGGTCGACACGCGTTGCGCGGATGCTTAGCGTCTCAGGGCACTTGTCAACCGGGAAGCCTCTCCTCTCTTTCCTTTTTTCTTCCTCCTTCCTTCTTTTCCTTCTTCCTTCTCTGATCCCTCCTCCTTTACCTTCTCCCTTGAACTGCTGTACTGGTAGATGCCTCGTGAGGAATAGATGCGACCATTCTCCGATCCTTCATCTGAAACGAGATCCTCACTGTAGCCTGGTGTGAACGTGATCTAGAATGTATACTTTATAAAGCTCTTCATGCTGTTGGGTTGTGGTGGAGATCACGCGCTGACTACATTGCGCTTCCGAGGGCGGGTCGCACTCCAGAGAACACGGATCGCAAAGCGCAGGTTTTCTGCTTGGCCGGTAGACATGAGACTTGATTTCAAAAACTTCCTAGCTCTCCCTCTCAGTCCCTTTGCAACCACAATTGATGATTTTTTCAGGAACTACGATCCTTACACTCGCATGAAGGAAATTTGCGCCGAAGGAAAGGGTTACATGCACACGTGTCCTCAGGACCTTGCAGATATGTACAAGGAAAAGGGCAAGGAAGTCGCTTCTCTGTAGATTCAACGTGTTGTTTCTATGCAGTGTAATTAGAATAAAGTTATGTAGTGTTCTTTTACATAAATGGGATTTTATTTCATGAAGTTGTTGTTGGTGCAGAAGATGAGTAACAAGCCTGATACCTTGTCTTCACTCAGTAAATGTCTGCATTGAAACACATTCTGCCATTTACTGTGATGTGAGGGAATTATTATTCAAGCTGGCCTGGTCCCCAGTTGCACAGTACTGAAAACGCGAGAAAGATTGGCGACATCCCTTAAAGTTTGTTACGAAGGTGCTGCTCTCTCACGGAAATCAGCTTGGGCCTTTTAGAGCGCATTTAAGCATCACCATCGCGAAGTCTGAACACACTCTCGGTGGTCTATCCCTTCTGTGTGCTCTTTCACCTTTTTGAAGTCTTTTGTCACGCTTGTTAACTTCGATGTGTGCTTATACAATAAACCAGATTATCAGAGTCCTTGTTTAGGGCGTGCTAGCTGTTTTTTTCTTTTTCCTTCCTTGGTAATTCATCACATAAGGTTTTGTTTAATGAGCCTCATTGCCCAGCACCGAAAGTGTTTGAAGGTTCTCGGGGAACGTACTACCTCACAAACCTTTATAAACTTTATGACCTAGGAGAAACTATGGAATTTAGGCTCTGAGCTACGCTTTCTTTTTTGTTAAACATCCACCTACATAGTTTGAGGCATTCTCTCGCATTATCATTGAATTTGTGAGGAGTTCGTGGACCATCGTGCATAAGTTGCGCGATGGTAAAATTCACGAAAAATGTCAGACATCGAATCGTTGCAGATCTGAAGAAACGCGAGTCAGGTGGGTTCCACAGGTGGACCGGCTGACCGCCAGTCTTTCAGCCAATACGAATTAGATTCTTTTCGGCTGTAGGGTCTAGTTGCTCGTCTTCAAGCTTTAGAAGCAGATTCTGATCTCACAATCAGAATGTCTGTCGGCCGGGAAGCTTCCCTACTCATTCCTTCTTCTGCTTGTTTCCTTCTTTTCCTTCCTTGCTCGAGAGACTAATTGCGGAAAGGTTGTTTTTCGCTTGCGTAGAGGCGTCAGAGAGACGTTTTCTGACGTTAAGCTACTACATTAGCGCCTCCATCCTATTCATAGATATCTTCCCAATTCAACCCATGTGATTTAGCTTATATTTTATCGATTAACTTCTTTTCGTTTGAAAAAAACTTGAAGTGGCGCAAAAAGGCGTTTATTTGGACTATAAATGTCTCAAATTTAATGAGCCCAAAACTGTTTCCAACTCATTTGCTTAGCACTGGAACTTCCTTGAGAAATCTGCCAGCAGCAAAGAGTTGGGCAAGTTTCCTGCGTCTCTGCCTTTTGCGTCCTCCCCATTTATTGATCCCTTTTGCCATTAACGAGACGCTTCGTTGGATAGGACTAGATTTTTTTATGTAGTTTCCTCGCAGGCAAGCCTTAGAAAAACATGTAAGACTGTCCAGGTCTCTTGATTCTTTTAATCCTTTAGTTTTTTTCTACATTCCACTTGCTGTCATTTTTTCAGCAAATAACACTCGCACTGTGTCGTCCTCCCCTGAAATCGAGTGAGACGATGAATCTTACGGAGTGTCCATTTCGTAACGAAGTGAGCACAGCAGCAGCTTCAGTGAGTTTATAGAACTGTACTGTTATTGAAGGGCATGAGAATACATTAATATTTTGGCGTGACTTGGATGAATCTGTCGAGCCTTTGGAATCGGCAACGGCCCGTGAACGACTGGGTTTGGTATGTTGCAAAGTACTTGCCCCATTATGTGGTCATTCTTCACCTTGTTTCAGCCAGTTCATGAACGGGATGGGCTGCAATATGTTCAAAGCAGAGCAATGCGAGTGAGTGCACCGATCCTACATGCTTAAGTGCTAATCCTGTTAAAGAGATGTGTTTAGTTTCGATCTTCACGACCAGCTCTTGTGAATAAGGCCAGTGATGTGAAAGCAGGCTCTTCGGGAGGTGTTTCAATAATTTCGAGAATCATCGAAGATGTGAGGATCTGGTTTTATGTTTGATTACGCTCAATTAACCCATTCTGAAGAATTGTGCTGTCACACAACTTCATTGTGTCTGAATGTTTGATAGTGTTAAACTCCAAAAGCTCATTTGAATAAACTGAAAAGACGGCAACAGCTCGAAAACTTTCAGAACTTTATCGTACCCGTCGTAGTGGCAGATTGGAAATTTGTTGCTCAGTTAGGTAGCATGCATATCAACGCAACACTCATGTCACACATGCTAGCCCAGCCGATGGAATCACCCTTCAGACCTGAAATAACACAAAGACACGTTGTTAGTGTGTTTAGACTGGATTATGCTATTGCTTTATCAAATATTACTAGCCCAGCAAAATTCTCTCGGTGCGGCAGAAAGGAAAATTATCAAATTATCACAGATAAAATTTGAGAAAACTTTCGAGGTTTCGCTCTCTTCAAGCCATAAAATGAGTTTTTGAAGTCCCAAACTGTTGCTAAACGTTCAGCTATCATATTTTCCTGCAGCTCCAGCAGTTTTATGCGTACTTTGCGAATACTAGTACTATTCAGAGCCATGACCCAGTTTCACTCACAGCTTCACTCAGAAGGCAAGATGGACGGAACAAGTGTGTCTTGGATGATTATGACGACAGTGGTAGGTAGGATTACACTGATTGCTGTTTTTTATTACCTTGCTCAACCTTCCACTAAGTTTCTCCGAAAGCCCGTAGCGATCGCTAACGCCCTAGGTAAATTTACTGTCGAATTATGCGGGAAGAGAGAGGGATACCGATGGCATGGTATGCTTTGACTCATTGCAGCATGCGCTTTGTTTTTTAGAAACACAATAACAACTCCGTTTGCATTATTATTGGGATAAGGCAATGTGCGAATACGCATTTTGCCTTTAACCTTTTGTTTTACCTTCTCCCCTCCATGCAGGATAGATTCTCTTTCCATTATTGAGGGCTTTCATTAAAAGAGTTATTTTCCAGAAGCTAGCTGCAGCCAGCTGAAACCTGAACCTGCCCCATCTTCCGTGAGTCTGTATTTTAAAAAATCTCGAGCAGTTCATTACAATTAAGGTCCTTGCAGTAGATAGAGGGGTTGCAAATATTGGGATCTGTCGTGTGTTCTATCCTTCATTACACTTTCTACGTTTTAGTGGCTTATATGCGTATTTCTCTAGACAAATGGTCAAGCAAATGGTGACGCAGCGCGCCATGGATGGACAGATGCCATGCGAGAGGCTCTTGTTGTGAGCATTCGCCAACGCAATGTGCTTTGGGACAGATATCACCCTCTAGCCAATAACTCTTCATTGAGAACGAGACTGTGGGGCGAGGTGTCTCAGGAAATGCTCGATCAGTTCGGTATTCTGTTTTCAGGTAAGCAGTGGTTTGGATATAGGAGCTTCACAAGCTTTTCGGGCGAATGCATTGATTTGATTCACAAAGTGTTGTCCTACGAATAGTCTAATTTTCGTTGACAGCTTCTCTGGCCTCCTTACTTTTCGATGGTTCCTTCTTTTTCAAGGTTTCAGTGGTGTCATGACTAGTTGTTCTTTTCCGGGTGTCTAGTAAAGAGGGATTATGTTTTCGAAGTAGAAGAACTTATCTCATTGCAGTGAGGTAGAATGAAACCAATGGAATGAGCTCTTGGTTTTACCACTTCGTATTGTATTAGATCAGCTCTTGATGCATGCTGATTCTAAGGACCATTGCTACTCCTTATGCTCTTTTTTTGTCCCTTTGTTTTCTTTTTGGAACCGCATACAAGCCTCTGGGTGCAATAAGGGTGCAAGTCATGGCATCCTTTATATACCAGTAAAAAATGAAAAGGGTAATCATCACTCCAAACTTGTAGTGGGCTCGAAAACTTACCATTAGTAGCCTTCCTTTGAAGTGGACCTTATTCCTCCGGCTCTCACGGATTTCTCTGATCTTTCGAGGTTATTTGCATAGAACCGGGCCAAATTGCTTTCGTTTAGTGTTCAGCTGAATATGATAATGTAGTGAGTAGCATTCAGTAGAATAGAACTTACACCTGCTCATCCATATACTTTAATGTGCTATTGTAGTGAACGAGTTGAGGAGAGTATGGAAAAATCTGAGGCACTCTTATCGGAGTGTACGTGAAACGAAGAAGAAACCTTTGAAGGAGAGCCGATGGCGTTTACTTGGTGCAATGAGTTTCCTGGAATGCGACATCACAGCAGAAAGGACAACAGAATCAGATCACGACTCGGAAAGGTCGTCCTCGCCAGAGGGTCTTGAAACTCTCTCATCAGGGTACGCTACTCTTCTCTATTGTGAGCACAATAAGTTTCGCGTAAAGAGCTTTGAGATAAGGGTAAACCGAAAGTAATCGCAAAGTGATGGAAGTCGTTTGAAAGTTCATCTCAGGGTTACGCAGCGTTCATACTTCAACGCAAGCCGCAGACTGAGAGATTGCGTTGATCGGGAGAATGCCGCGCCAAGGTATCTGGCTTCATCCTCGGCAGGAAGCGCGTTCCCTCGATTCGTACATTTTCTGTCTTGGCGAAGTATGTGAAAAAAAAACTCAACTCACTCATTTAAGGATGACCGAAGCGACATCTGCGTCTCGCAGAACAGAGCAACCGTCTCGAGAACAACTGGTGGATCCAGTTGCAGACTCGGTTGAGTCGATTGCCAAGCAGGTGGGCTAGCAGAAGACTGGGCTTAGGGAATCCTCCAAAGATAATATGTCTTATCATTGAACGAGAGTTGTGAGAGATCCCTCTACTATTGCGGTCTGAGACCGTTCTCATTGTACTATTCTCGGGCTCAGATCAGAGTGGGTAATATAAGTGCTAGCAAAGGTC